AAACAAGATCTCTGAACGGATGGCATCAAAAGGTACGCATCGTATAATTAGATCTATGTATTGATTTGCTCAGCACCGTGATCCAAGATTGCTGCAGGCTCCGTCTTTAATCCGATCGCGCTGCGACTGTAGGGATGCAAGGAGAGTAGACCCTTTCTCCTCTCTTCCTATCCTTTCACAGGATCACACAGATTGATGGATTTGGGGAGAGGGTTTTGGGGAGAGAGTCGAGGAGAATAACTGAATTCCTCAACGGAGAGGTGCGTCTATACGTGTCAACGTTATGACGCTCTAACACACTAACACACCCTCAACCCCTAGAGATCCTGTCCTTTTATAGGCGAGAGTAGAGGGTCTACGATGAGATCTCAGAAGATTTCCTCCCATCAAGAATATCTCCGAGGAATCGATCCGTAGTGGACTTAGTCTATATTGGCTAAAATATCGCAACGGAACCCAATTAGTTATTCTATCTTATTCAATTATAAAAAGGGCCACATATTCTAACATTTTTCACCTTGTACCAGTTCTCTGTCAAAACAGTGGACACCCCTCAGTTTAATCAGACAATTGAAATATTCATCAATTAGTCATAAGACACCATCAATCGTAAATCAGATATGGACCAAAATAATTTGTCAAAGTATGTTGAATGTATTTAGCAAGTTTTGGTCTCAAGATTCACCATGTGGGCCGTACTTTAGCCTCCAACCTACCACAAACCAAGTACGCCATTGATAACTGCCCCCTCCTTTACTCCCCTTTCTTTCATGTTTGTTTTGGGTCATAATAAATTAGCTTGTATATCCAGAGCTAAGTTAGCCGTGAAACTCTTTTCTTTTCATGGTTACTTACCTCATTAACCACTCGAATGGTCTTCATTGACATGGTAGAGTAGAGGGCTTTCTTAACCCGCCACTCTCAATGTGTAGTTTTATCGTTCATCTGATAGTTTTGACTTGGTCAGAATAACATATAAAGTTTGGCTGGTTAAGCTTGAGGCCATTAGTTAACCCCATCTTAACCTCCAAGCCAACACTGAAGTTTTGCTGAAATTTGTACAAGTAGTAGCTTCACATAATTATGTTAGGTGATAATTATTTTTGTATATTCTTCTTGTTGAGCATTAAACTGTATTGTTTACTATGTAGATTCAGAAACAGGATTCTGGTGATGTATATGATGAAATGGTTCTAGAGATGGAGGAAATTTTGTTAGATACAGGAAGTGGAACCAGGCCTGTGGCCAACCATCAGTACTTAAATCATCAGTCTCATCATTTCAGAGATGGGAGCTCTACCGCTTCTACTTCTGGCACAGATGATATTAATCCACCTCCTCAATTCCCTTCCAGTATTGATTGGGTTGAGGCCATTGGAGCAAAACAGAAAATAGGAGATGTTTCTTTTGGGGAAAGATTGGTTGGTGTCAAGCAATATACTGTGTACATATTAAGAGTGTGGAGCGCTAAGGATCAATGGGAGGTTGAACGACGCTATCGCAATTTCTTTGCACTTTACCAGCAGCTAAAAACTCTGTTTTCTGACCATGATTTAAGTCTTCCTTCTCAATGGTCCTTTGTTGAGAGAGAATCCATGAAAATATTTGGAAATGCTTCACCAATTGTTGTCAGCAATAGAAGTGCTCTTATTCAAGAGTGTTTACGCTCAGTTCTTAATTCCAGATATCCTTTTGGATTTCCTAGCCCTCTACTTTGTTTTTTATCCCCAGGCAAGGTGGCTATTAACTCTAATTTGTTGAAAGCTCTAGTTCCTCAATCGTTCATAAAGTTTGGGGAGGGTTGGAATTCAAAATTTTCAACTTATAAGGAGTCTCCAGAAAATATTTCTGAATTAGGGAAGACAATACCACTAATCGTTAGCATAAAGCCTCAAAAGTCTATGCAAAAGATGTTGGAATTACAACACTATACTTGTGCAGGATGCCACAAACATTTGGATGCTGGAAAGACATTGTTGAGGGATCTTGTTCAGACATTAGGTTGGAAAAGGCCACGGTTTTGTGAGTACAGTGGCCAGTTATTTTGTGCAACATGCCATACAAATGATACTTCGGTTCTGCCAGCAAAAATCTTGCATCTCTGGGATTTTTCTCTTTATCCAGTTTCTCAGCTAGCAAAAGCATATTTGGATTCCATTTATGACCAGGTAATCTGGAAATAACATTGTTTGCACTATGTATATCATCCTTAAAAATTTTTGATGTTGGCAATATGCTGGTCTATTATTTTAAAAATTTCTAGATTCTTTTGAAGGTTAGGCATAATATAGTCTAGCCTTCTTAAACTTGTAACATCAAGAGCATTAAGTATTTTGTTGCCAATATGATGCTAAATGCTAATACATGTCACATTTTTTTCCCAGCCAATGCTATGTGTGAGTGCAATCAACCCCTTTCTGTTCTCCAAAGTGCCAGCTTTGCTTCATGTTATGGGAATCAGGAAGAACATAGGTGCCATGTTCCCTTATATTCGCTGCCCTTTTCGAATCTCAATTCAGAGAGGCTTTAGATCTCGTTGTCATCTTCTTGAAAGCAATGATTTTTTTGCACTTCGAGATCTTGTTGATCTATCAAAAGGGGCATTTGCAGGTACATTATTATTTGCATTCGTCCAATATTTGATTTATTATGCATACATCTGGAAAGCAATATATGAAGGCATATTTGCAGCGGGTGGGACATTATATAACATATACCAATATAGAAGGATGGCATCAGGGGGCTTAATTTGTGAGATTATAAACCATCTAGCAAGAGCATTTGCATGTAATTCACATTCTTAATTTGTCAACTTCCATTTCAGTTTCTATTGACATTGTTGCCATACATAATTTCCATGAAACACTGAACCCATGTTCCAATTTTAAACGAAGAATGAGGACTTTGTGACAACTATTTGATTATCCTCAATATTTTACTCTTTCAATTCAAGATATCCTTCTATCCTTTCTCTGGATGACTCGTGCAAGAAGAAATTGAAGGGGGAAAACAAGGTGGCTGACCATTTTATTTTTTGAGCCAAAATTTTATGGCAAGTAGTCTCGAACTATTTCTTTTCTGTTAAGTTCCTTGCTTATTCTATTTTCCTTCTTATCTTCAATCCTTTTTCTTTTTGTTTGGTTCCTGTTAACTTCATTTCTGTTAAGTTCCTTTCTTATTTTATTTTCCTTCTTATCTTCAATCCTTTTTCTTTTTGTTTGGTTCCTGCATTCTTTGTCACTTTTATCCTACTCCACTATCATTAGATTCTTTTGTAGCTGTAATATATTATCTAACTAACTAGAGAAGAACAAGTTGTGAGTTTTTATTTTCTTCTTAAATGATATCTTAGACCTCTTTTTGTCCGGATCAGACATTTCTATGTCAACAATGTCAAGTTAGAATCTATGTTCTTCTCATCATATACATCAATTGCATTCGATAGATGGGACCTTTAGAAAATCAATTGAGTCATATCTAACCCTGAGTGATTGTCATCCTCTCCCTGCTGTCTTTTGACTGGTTCTTCAAGATCGCAACTAATCAGGAAATATTTTATCACTAGGTCCAATTTCGATCCAAATCTCTCGCTGTGGATTTGAGTCAGCCAAGTTCCATCTCTGTTTCTCTCTCACATATCTCATTATTGCATTAACTGAATATTGTAGGGCATTAATCCCTATGATGCTTAAAATGGTTGTGCTACTCTACTTGGTTACCACAAATAACTGATGTGAGTGAAAGATACAAGACGAGGAGAAAAAGAGGATTGTAGTTGCTAAACTTGTCTGTAACTGTTCTTGTGTGTTTTTCACTGCACAAAGTCAAACATATGAAACATCAAATTAGTCTAGGATTTTATTTAATAATCTGTAATAAATTGTTTGACTATTTGGTGACGATGTGCATAATTGAGGAAAGTTGTCCCCATTCAGAAAATCCTGATATGTCAATCACATTTATAATTATTGAACATCGAGGAAGCAAAACATTTAAGTTTGAACTTTGAACTACTGGCGCATATGGAGCCTGTCAGCACTGTGTAACACTGAAGTTTCAAAGGAAAAATGCAAGATTAAATACTCTTTTAATTGTTTATCATGATAATGTTGTAGCATTTGTTTGCTACTGAACATGTACATGCATATGTGCAAGTGTTTCATATTCAATCTCTGTGCATATAACTGCAAGTTTAGGTATCTGAGTTCTACAACAATCTGAGACACTGCTTGCTTGTGTTCATCAATATGCTCTTGTGAGTGCCTCTATTAGTATCTGATTCTTCTGTTCTTTACAATGGCAGCACTCCCTGTCATGTTAGAAACTGTTTCGAATAAGATCCTGGAGCACATAACGCAACAGTGCCTTGTGTGCTATGACACTGGTGTTCCTTGTGCCGCCCGTCAAATCTGTGATGAGCCATTGTCTCTTATATTTCCCTTTCAGGTTAGTCTCCCACTTTGATGCCTTATTTACTAGTGCAATCTTGACAAAAGCTAGTTGGATCATCCTGTCCACTGAACTCATTATCGCACCCACTCAACTGGTGTTGACTATGGTCAACTTATTTGCTTTCTGTTGAATTAATCTTGACTTGATCACTGTCTTTAACACTAAAGGTTACCTGATCACAACTTAATCTAGTCATAAGTCTGGCTTAAATCCAAGCTCTGTGAGACCTTGTAATGTTGTGCCTTGTTGGTTATACAAACAAGTCTTGTTGCTTATAGAAACCAGTCAGGTTCAGGTTAGGTTATCTTGACTGGCAAGTGGATTATGTCCAGCTAGGATTAGACATTGGTCAATTATACTGCCAAACTTGACTGGCCTGGATTGAAGTCTAATGTCCACAAAGAATATATCCTGTCAAGTGAATGGTGGAATTTTACTTTCATTACAGGAAGCTGAAGCTGCAAGATGTAATTCGTGTGGGTCCATCTTCCACCAGCCTTGTTTCGTGAAGATGATCAGCTGCACTTGTTGCAAATCAACCAATGCAGCCGAGAGTTTGGATATCCGAGGTCATGTAGAAAGTGAGAAGCCATTGGCTGTGCTCGCCCAACCTTCAAAGTCTAGTCCAACTTTGAGTTTGTTTTCTAATATTCTGTTGAAGGCAAGTCCAGACTTAATACGGAGGCCTAAAGACAGAAGCCCTGCAATTTTCATGGGCTCTTTATCTTTATCAAACACTTCATTGTATTGACAGCAGTGTATTCTTTTTACTGCTCGAGTAGTCGAGTGTTCAAGATGTAAATAGGCTTAATGTATTCTTTGTAAAGTGTAACTAAATAACAACATGAAGCCATGTAAAAGTTTTTGTTGCATCTATTGGATTCTTGGGAATACTCCTGTTTAAAAGCCATCCTTTCTGGACTCTCTACTGTTATTTTACTTGGATGAAGCCCAAATGATTCCTTAGTAGCTTATGATCTGTGGCTTAAGTTCAGATACATTTGCATTTAAGTTTGTCCAAGCTGGGTCCTATCATACAGTTCTTCGTGAAATGTCTGCATTTATTGATTTGTAATAATAGTCTTGTATTTTGATTTATAATAATTTTAGGCAAGGATTCTGGTGTGAAGTTGTTGGCGCATGTCCTGCAGATCCATTTTGAGATCAGCATTGCATAGAATTGCATTATGCTAGAAAGGTATCTGCACTATCTACTGCCATGATTTAAAGATGTGGTTTGGTTCACTGAGCTATTTTTCTGTGTACAACATCTCAATATTAGTGTTTTGCCAGCTTAATTAGAGCTTAATTGTCAGATAGCTGAGTGCTCGTAATTGGAAAGTATCATAAATAATATTATAATAAAGAATCATGAGAGTCAAATTCTCAGAAAATCCCATAAAATTAATTTTATGGTTTTCATTTTGATAAATCTCCCCTACTGTATCATAAATAACGTGTGCTAGTTCCAGTTGTTCTTTTAAAGTCTTCAACAAATTAATACTTGATACTTTTCATTATAGATATGTTTTTAATTGCTATAACCTCAACCATCTGTCTCTCCTTGAAATCAGTTTTCTAGAAATATTTTTTCTCAAAATATTGTGATTCACTGATATGGCTTCTGTGTGTACATGACATTTTCTTTTCTTTTTTTCCTAATCCCTTTAAAAAAAAAGAAAAGTAAAAGGACAAAAAGAAGCCAAGTTGTATGATTTGCTGGCCACAACAAACAAATGCGGCTTCTTTTCTCCTTTATCTATCTATTTAGAATAATAAAAATAACAGAAATGGCAAAAATCAAAGGGCTGCGGAAAGATCATGTGGTGAGTTGAAGGCCGTCCGATGCTTGTCTTCTTTAATACCTCTCTCTCTCTCTCTCTCTCTCTCTCTCTAAGTGAGAGAAGCTTCGAGGCCATTCGAGG